CTCTTGGTTTTAAATGCAAGAATTATCACCTCAGTCTGCAAGTGCAGTTAATGTTATGAATTTTTAAAAATGTATTGAAGTTTGCGACAGCTGGTCCTCATTTCAAATGCCACACTTTGTTGAATAGGCAGCAGGCATGCAGCAACATCTGCATCTTGGAGAAATGTGAATTCACAGACAGGCACATCATGCTTCTGTGTCACAGCAGAATAAAAATTCACACTAATGTGACATAGGTGCAAAACTTCAGCAGAGATATGCAGTGTCTAAAATTAACTTGCAAAATGCTAAATGTAAATAACAATAGACTTTGATGAGTAAATAAATTGTCCATTTACATTTACATATTTTGCAGATACTTTTATCCAAAGTGACTTACATTCCATTCAAGGTTTACATTTTATAATTTCATGCTTTGCCCAGGAAGAGAACCCATGACCTTGGCCTTGCTAATGCCATGCTCTACTGTTTGAGCTACATAATGGGTGGTTTAAAATTTAAATGATAATACATTTTGTTCTTCAGAATTCTTGGATGAATAGAAAGTTCAAAAGAACAGCATTTATTTGAAATGCCAATATTTTGTAACGTTATAAATGTCTTTACTGTTACTTTACTGATCAATTTAATGCATCTTTGCTCAATACAAATATTAATTTCTTTAAAAAAATACTTACTGACCCCAAACTTTTGAACGGTAGTGCATTTTAAGTCTGGATTGTACACACAATATTAAACATGGACATCTTTACTATATCTTTGAAATTCTACATGTTCAAAAGGACTTATGTTTATAAGCATTCATTCATTGATATTGTACAGTTAAGTGTCTATCCAAATGTACGCAACTGCAGAATACAAATTCAGATTCTATCTGAATTAAATTAAGATCACATTGCCATATCCTAGAGAGTAACTGGAAAGAAAACTGCACCGTGACAGGCTCCTCCTGTAAGGTAGAGCTCCCACAGGGCACGTGGAGTGGGAGCGCTACTGTTCGCTGGCCTGTTCAGGCCAAAGGGCTCTCTGGTGTGGGCCACTTGTCCATGTGTGTCATCTCTGTACATGCTGCACTGCTTTTTTTTTTTTTGTTCCCCAAGATCACTACTGTTTCTGAGCATCAGACGTCTCAGTGACATGCCTTCCCTCCCAGAGAAGCTTTTAAGGGAACTCAAGCAGAAGGAGTGGGATAAATCATTCACTCTCAATTCAGCGCTTATGTCAATAACGCACCCTGTAGTTAAAGCTCATCAAGCTGACATCTGATTTTTTATTTATACTCACTATTCATGTCATAACCAAAGAACAAACATGCTGAACATAAAGCATAATTGAACTTTTAATATTCCTCGCCTCCTCAATAGATTTAACTTCAATACATGACAGCCTGTCTTTATATAATAATTAAGACATATTCATGTGAAATGACAATACTAGTGTTAACTGAAATTAAGAAAATCTTAATGATAGTCAATTATCTGATGCATAGGCCAGATCTTTCAGTATTAAAAGAAACAGATCAGCATCTATGGAGACCTGGGGAACTTTTCTTCTACAGATGTTTGTGAACAAACAAAACAGTGTATCTTAAAAGTCTCACTTGAGGCTGTTTCCCTCGAACAGAGCGAACTGTTCGCAATTGAAAAACAGGCCCAAGGTCGGTTGGATGCTTTCACTTTGATAAGCTGATGGGAGGATGTAAGACAATGATTTCTATTACACAACAAGCAGATCAGTTCAGTGCCGCAAGGCCGTTTGGCCATTGTGCTGTTTAATCAACATTATTGCACAAAAGTGACAATAAGACTACAATGATAATGTTGTTGAACGTGCAGTTCAAGATTGGTTAATAGTTAATGAAATGCAGTTTCAACTAATTATGTTAAAAATAGTCCTGGATTTAACGTTCTCTGCCCTTGTGTTAACATTTAAACTTTTTAAAATGTTATTTCACCTTGTTTATCCGATTTTAATTGGATTTCCTGCAGTTCATTTGAAACTAACTGCCCTCTTTGTTAACAAACTGGCCTTCAGCAGGAACTTTCAAAAGGTGAAACACCACACCATCATTATATGATCAACAAGACCACGGTTTCAAACAACACAGAGGAATATTTCACTTCAAATGCTTTTATTCAAATACATGTTTGTGTCCTGGTAACAAGATCACATCTGCTCCTGTTTAAAGGGCTTTTCTCGTGAACCTCCGTGAGTATTTTTAGTTAATACACCTGAAAAAAAATAAAAACAAAAAAGGAGGGATAATTGCTAAAGGCTGTGTGCCGCTGTGTGGTACAACAACTGAACTCAGGATGAAAGTGATTAATCCACCGTGCTACCAATTCCTGCGAGAGAAAGGGAGAGAGAGACATCTCCAGATGTAAGACCAAATCCAGGTACATTATAAAATAGGTCACATTTCCCAGAATGCCCCTTCTCTCTTGTTTCCAAAATGAAATTGCTCCATTTTTCTCCTTCCACATGCTGAATGACTCGAGGTGTCTCAAGGGCCCAGTGTATCAAGAGGGTAGAGACAGAAGTAATTCAGTCCTGGCTGTTCGTTAGGCTCTGTGTGAGATTTTCTCCCCACTCTGAACAGCAATTACGGTGGGCTGATTAATCCATCGTGTTGACCAGCTCAACACAAAGAAGATGATTGGCTGTATTAAGGCACCGGCTTGGAAACGTCGCACCAGGGCATATTTGCAAACATGGCGGTCACAAAAAGGTTTAACATGGTTACGCCAGTCTCTGGCACTCGCAAGGAGAACTTGAACCATCTGGGATCTTTGCCACATGGAGAGTCACGGGATGCCATCCTAAGGTGCTTGGAATTGGCCATAATATATTGGCACTTAGCTTTCTGGAATTCTGGGACTTGAATGTTGGACTGTAGTGCCAGCTTTCTTTCTCTCTTGCTCTCTAATTCAACCCCATCAATAACTGAAACTTGAGCAGACAGACTGATTGACTTAACTATTGTGCTCATTTGCATACACTTAGCCTCTGGTCTATCAGTCCCGGAAAACAATCCCAGCATGCAGATGTAAGCTATGTTTGTATCACTTGGGGGAAAAAACGAATGAGTTTGTTCTAAACAGGCAAAGCACTTAAGCGTTAAAACATGCCGTTAAGGATGGCTTTGATGTCCAGATGGGGAAAGGAATATGACACTGACTTTAATTGCTCCTGGAAATGAGAGTGGATTCTGAGTAGATGGAAGTACTTTGAATTATCTGACGCTAATTTAAATGCAGCAAAGGGATCTCATTCCAGTTTTCTATGACTGTTTTAGTGGTAAAACAAGAACCACTGTTACTGTTACTCATGTGCATATCGATCTATCTATCTATCTATCTATCTATCTATCTATCTATCTATCTATCGCACCGGCGCCCTGGTGAAGCTCCGCGCACGCGGCTTTCGGACTGCACTCCCAAGCATTCATCTCGCGAATGTCCGTTCCCTTCCTAACAAAACGGATGAACTTCTTCTCCTCACCCGCACCAACAAGGACTTTTCAAACTCTGCTGCACTGTGCTTCAGTGAAACCTGGCTGAGCTGTCTGTATACACTACTGTAAAACTGCAATATTGTTAAGTATTATTATAATTTGATAATTATTACAATTAAAAAACTTTTCTATTTGAAATAAACATTTCTGTGATGGCAAAGCTGAATTTTCAGCATCATTACTCCAGTCTTCAATGTCACATGATCCTTCAGAAATCATTCTAATAAGCTGATTTGGTTCTCAGGAAACATTTATTATTATATAATGTTGAAAATATTTTTGTGGAAACTATGAATTTTTTTTGAGGATTCTTTAATGAATAGAAATCTTTTGTAACATCATATGTGACATATAATGTCTTTACTTTTGGTCACGTTTGGTCAATTTATTGCATCCTTGCTGAATAAAAGATTTTTATTATTTAAAAAAAAAATCTTACTGAAGTTTAAACAGAAATGTATTTATATTATATACTGTATATAATTTTTGTTTACATAATTTTGATACCTATTTATAATATTTGAGCTGCCTGTGTGGCTGCGCACAGTTAAACAGATTTACTTTTCCATCATGACAGACCGAATCAGTTTTCAACTTTTCATTTTTCCTCATTCCTTCTTTATCTCTCACTTTCTCTAATCTCTCCCACTCTCTCTATTTTTCTCTCTCTCAAAACCATGCTGACAACTAGATGTGGCTGTGGCTTTTATACACGGAGACAGAAGGGAAAAACTATTAATTTGTTCTGAGAATCATGTTTTTTTTTTTTCAAGCCAGAGGGAGACTTGATTGGTTTCAGGGAAGAAACACCAGCTAACAAATCACACAGGACTCTGTGATCGTCGCATAGCGTGAGGGCCAAATCTCCATGGTCTGATGTGCTACACAGAGAGATCTGACGAGAAGATATCCGGCGTCCTCCTTCTGAGATTTTCTTTTCATGAAGAAACATGGTCAAAATGTCCCCTTTGCATCCTAAACTTCACTGTTACCATGCCATCTTGAAGTACCCGGTTGCTCAAACTTGTATGTGCCGTCTGATTGGCCAAAAATCTTGGCGAGAGTAAAAGCTGGCAGAAGTCTAATCAGTAAGATATGAGTAATGGGGTCTCAGCTTCTCTCTTAATGAAGTCAGCATCTCTGGGACGTCCCCCAACAACAACCATCCCCCCCAGTTGGCCCGTGCTGGCATCTTCAAATAGTCCCTCCTCTTCTCACGTCTTACTGCCCTCTCTCTTTTTCCAGTGCTCTCTCTGGAGTGCTCAGGATGTAGCAGCTGCTTGTTGCCTTTGATTTAGACTTGCCCCAGATATGCTCCCTAATGAGCTGAGTGCTGAGTGAGAAGCAGGCTGATCAGAGCTGTGTAAAAAGAGAACTGCAATCAGCTTTTTAACTCATCCTTCCATTTCTCTCCCTCTCTCTATTTCACTATGTGCCATTGTTTGTGAAACATGAGGATAAACTTCTCTCTGATCTTTTTTTCCAGTTCCTCCTGATGACCCTGTGATAATCGGAGCACCTGTGGTGAGCTTGCGTGCAGGCGACTCGCTAAACCTTACCTGCCACGCTGACAATGCCAAACCAGCTGCCTCCATCATCTGGATCCGTAATGGAGAGGTGCTGAATGGTGCCGCGTACACCAAGGTATGGCAGATCCCTGCTGCTGGCGGTTATTGTAACAACAGAATGCAATCCTGAAATGTGATGGAACCAGTCTAAAAATAATTTTTAGGTATCATAAATGTGTTCAATTGAATGCAAATTCACATCCAGCTATTATGTCCAAAAATAATACCGTAACATAATAAAAATAATAACTAACCCGTTTTGAACATTTCAGATGCTGTATTGAGTGTTTGGTTTCTAATTGAATAAACAAATGTTCCATTATGAATACTTCTGTAACACCCAAAAAAATCTTTCTCAAACATTTTGATTCAGTTCAAATGTGCATGTGATGCCCAAAAAGATGCCTGAAACATTTTGATTCAATTCAAACGTGCATATGATGCCCAAAAAGCTCCTTCAAATGTTTGGGCTCAGTTCAAAATGTTCATGCGATGCCCAAAAAAGCTGTCTCAAAAGTTTTGATTTAATTCAAACATGCACTGATGCTCAAAAACACTGTTTCATTTCAGATTGAATGATCAAATGATCAAAAGATTTGTGAGTTCAAACATTTCACAAAAGCCGTCTTGAGTGTTTCATTTCAAATTGAATGATCTATCATGCCCAAAATGCTGTTTTGAATATTCATTTCAAAGTGAACGATCGAGTCTATGATGCCCAAAAATGATGTTTTAAATGTTTTCTATCATAAAATAACACGATTCATTCGACATTAAAACACGATGATTGAACCATGACTTGAATGTACCTATAGGACCAAGAATACAAATTTGAGTGTTTAAACATGCATACGTTCCCCAAGAATGCTGTCTAAAAACAATTAAATTTGAACGTTCAAGCGCTTCTATGACACCCAAAAATGCTGTCTGGGTGAATTAATGCATGGGTTTGGAGACACACAGCCTATATGTTTGACAGTATTTTTTTGCCTACAGTTTATATTCTCAATATTACCCCTCTTTCACATGACAAAAAAAGAGTCTCTCATGAAATCCTGCACTCCGCCTGAATGCGTGTCCTCGAAACGCTCGGCTCTGTCAAATTAATGACAAGTGAGGACTAATTTTTAATTTAATCCTTGGGGCAAAGTGAAGCTGTAATGCAGTGCTTTAAATATGTCATAATGGAAAGACATTCCAGCACTCCATTATGAAAGTGTTCCTCAGCAATTTGCTCAGTTTGTCAGCTTTAGGGAGAAAATTGAGAGAGCAGGAAATGTGTTTAAAGGGCCGCTCGTACTATGATTGGAGACCGTAATCTGCTCATTTTGAGTAAGCTGAACCCCTCAGCACCCACTGGAGAGAGTCCCTTTATTAATTAACCAGACCTAATTTAGACACAAGCAAGCTAGACAGGTTAACTCTTTTTTTTCTCCCTCAACAGAAGTACTGCTTTCAAATCTGTTCTACACTTGGGAGACTCTTTTAAATCGTTCTGAAATCAAGTGCCTCCATGAGACGGATAAAAACAAAGCTATTCACGTCTCAAAAGTCATGCCAGTGTAAACTGGATATTAGATGTTGTTTTAATGAAAACAAGTCTTATAAACTGCTGATTCTTGAGTGATGGGACAAAACAGCCTGCAGAACTGAACGAAAAAAAATGGAAAAATGTACAGAGGAATTACTTTGGATTAATCTGTTAAACATGTTCAGAGGTGCTGGTTCAACCTCCTGCTTCTTCCGTTTTCACAGTAAATGTGTGTTTTTCCTTGCCACAACTCAGTGTGTCAACACGATTAAGGATGAATTAAGATCACAGGATGGTTTCACACTGATTTTCAGCTTCATCTATTGAATTGTCACCACAGTCAGACAGAAAATCAACAGCGCTGACAAAATAACCATAATGCATTTAATCACACACTCATCCGATGTGTGTGCATTAGCTGTGTTATTATTTTAATGTTGCTATTGGATGTACATCAAATAAGTGGAAATCATCTAAAATTCCCTTGACTGATTGATTGATTGATTTATGTATGTACAGTATGTATGTATTTATTTATTTATTTACAGTCCTGTTCAAACATTTTTAAAAATATATTTGGAAAAAGTTCAGCAAAATTAGTAACATTGGGAAATATTATTACAATTAAAAATAAATATTTTCTGTTTTAATGTATTTTAAAATGTAATTCATTTCTGTGGTGACAAAACAACATTTTCCAATTGTCAGTGTCACGTGATCCTTCAGAAATCATTTAAATATGCTAATTTGGTGTTCAAGAAGCATTTTATTATTATCACAATTGGAAATGGTCTCATATTTATGTATTTATTTATATTTTAATATATATTTTGATCTACATGAACATCGATTTATTGTCTGAGGACAGGTGGTTGATGTCATTTTATAATACTGATGAAAATGAACAGCAGTTGAAAGTATAAAGAACACTGAAGCGATCATCTCTGATCTGTTTCAAAGTGGAAATGTTGTTGTTTTCACACCGAGTGGCAGGTAAAAGTGTGGGAATGCTCTGTCTCATCTCTCAAAAATCTGTGAAAAATCCTTAAAAAGTTTAACTTGATTTTGTGCTTAAAAATTTAATTTATAACTGAATGTCTAATGATTGGAGAGCCTCATCATAACACAATTACCTTTTAGAAAAATGTCAGATGATAAAAGCACAAGAGATTTTAATTTTTAATTTTTCTCCAGGAATCGAGCCCAACTCTGAACACTTTTTATTGCGTTATTTGATTAATTCTGCGAGAGAATCTGTTATAGCTGCGAGGCTGATGGGTGTTTTAGATGAAGTCAATATCCTTCAAATATCTGTACCGATTTTTTAATAATCTTTCCTCAATAAACACGGTTCTCTACAATAGCTTGAATACCAGAGCGCAGAAGTGCAAGTAATATCGCCGTGAATAAGCTGCTTTGTGACTGACATATGAAGTGTGTAACTTCCAGTGAAAGATGCCTCAATACAGATTTCAGCACAGAGCTAGTCTGATAACAGAACAAACATTTCATGTTCATTTGGTACTCGAGATTCAAGGGTTGTTGGGTTGATGGTTTGTTCTGAGACTTCCAACAGAGAGGAGCTGATTGCGAGTCTGCAATCTGTTTTTGACCTACACTCAAGAGGAAGCCCAAGGATAAACCATCTTGAATTGTTTAGCTTGTTTTTTATACTTTTTGTTTTCTGTGAATATCATTGACCATCTGTAAAATGCTGCCCAATGACACTTTAACGCTTATGATGGTTGTGTTTTCACGCAGACACTGTTGCGAGATGGCAGAAGGGAAAGCACGGTCAGCACGCTCCACATCTCTGCCTTGAACATCGAGAGCGGCCAACAGATCACCTGCCGTGCTTCCAACAAAGCGGCACCCAATGGCAAGGAGGCCACAGTCACCATCGACATCCAACGTGAGTGAATCTTTCAGCGACTGAGCTTCTGTTCAAACACATTTAGTGGCAGACACGCTCAAGCTGACTTTCCTCTTCCAAATCCTGAGACCTGCATTCTGTTCTGAGCGTTTCTTGTGTTTTCCTGTCTGTGTGGATAAATTATTCACATGTGAAAATCCGCTATGTGCTGTCCTATTTTCTTTATCCAAACATCCGTTGTGTATGCATGCGATCTGATGTCTGAGCACATGTCGTACTTCGCTCCACAGACACACAAGGCTTGACACAATTTTTGTTTTTCCTTGTTTTTTGTCTTGGAGAAGCAATTGTGAAAGTGACAGTTTCCCTGTACGCAGCATACAGTGACGTTTCTAAGCTTTTAGCCGGTTATTGTGGACATAAGTGCTAATTGTTAGATTTTAAATGTCGGAAGAATTGAACACGACCAGATCCTTCTTCTGTATACAGGCGTTTCGTTTATTTTTATTTATAGCAGTCATAAACTTCGCTGTCAAAAGTGTATCTGAAAGCGCTAAAATGAAAGGCCTGAACTAATTCAGCGCGAAGATTAGCTTTTGATGAAATATTTCTGACAATGTATGCATAGGGAACAAAGGCGTTCTTTCAGCTCTCTCAAGTGTTGAAAGTCTGACTAATAAAGCAGAAAATATATAATATTGAAAGATCCACAAGTTTTGACATCTCCTTTCTTCACGTCTGTAAAGTCTGTTTTATTGCCCAGAAGGAATGCACCTCAACACAATGGAGCTCAAATTTTGAATTGAAAGCGTGAAACGGAAAACTTTTGTGTTTTTTTTTGCTCCTCCAGACTTGACCCAAATCGTTTTGTCATGCAAAACAATAGAAGAGATTTACTGTAAGCTTCTTTCCTCCCTGTATTGCACAGGCACTCCTGATTGGTCAGTTTTGACGATGTCGCCACTGTAAGGGCCAATGAAAACCTTTGTTTAATTAATCATGTTTGGAGAGCGTCAAACCAGCCCGGTTTCAGATTATATGTGCTCTCCTACACTACCTGTCAAAAGTTTGGAATAATTAATATTTTTGTAATAAATTAATATTAGTAATATTAATGTTTTGTCTCTTATGTTCACCAAGGCTTCATATATTTTATTTAAAAAAATACAGTAGAAACAGGAATATTTTGAAATATTGTTCCAATTTAAAATAATAATTTTCTATTTTAATATATATTAAAATTTGATTTATACCGATGATGGCAAAGCTGAATTTTCAGCATCATTACTCCAGTCTTCAGTGCCACATGATCCTTCAGAAATCATTCTGATATGTGGATTTGCTGCTCATAAAACATTTCTTATTATTAACGGTGTTGAAAACTGTTTTTGTTGCTTATTATTTTTGTGAAAACAATGATATACTACCATTCAAAAGTTTTGGGTAAGTATGAAAAAAATAATGATTTAATTAAGCAAGGATGAATTAAATAGATCAGAAGTGTCAGTAAAGACATTTATAATGTTACAAAACATTTTTGCTTCAAAGAAATGTTGTTCTATTGAACTTTATTCATCAAAGCATAAACTTTCAGCAAAAACTCTTGTCAACATTTATAATAATAAGACAAATTATTAACAATTGAACACCAAATCAGCATATTCGAATGATTTCTTATTCATATGTGACATGTTCATGTGACAATGTCTGCTGAAAATTCAGCTTTGCTGAATTATATTTTAAAACGTATTCAAAGTTATTTTAAATTGTAATAATATTTCACAATATTACAGTTTCTACTGAATTTAAATAAATTCAGCCTAAAGCATAAGAAACTTATTTAACATCTTTTAAAAATATTATAAAATCTTAATTATTCAACACTTTTGACCGGTAGTATGTGTCAAATAGGGTTGGGCCGATAGACGATGCCATCGTCCATCGCCGATGACTGACAGACATCACGATGTTGAGCCGGCATCGTGATCTGTCTCCACAACCCCCTCCCACCCCCCAAACCCCCCGCAATCCGCCGCATCCCAATTCCGTGTTCGGAAAGGAAATTAAGTGTACTACAGAACCCCTAAAGGGAATAAATAGCCTACGAGATGGGAGGATAAAAAAAAATATTTCAATACTTTCTCTAGCAATTATATCATTGGGTAATTATACTGTATTTAAATTGCGGCCATCAGAGAGCCGCTACTAATATACAGGGTATTGAAACAGCTTTCAAATGCACGCTCTCATTTTACTTTCACTTTCAAGATTCGCGATCACACAGACTCTATACTACGGAGCGGCAGTACTTACCACACATTTTACAAGATTAGATATTTGTCAGTGGTGCTCAGTATCTGCAAATCATTCGCCATTGTCCGATCAGTCATCTCTCCTTACTCTGTGTATGTGGTAAGTGAATTTTCATGTACTGTAACTTAACAGTTTACCGCTAGTAGGTCTGGGTATCGAGTTCGATACTTTTTAGGCATCGACCGAAATGCCTTGATACCATCGAGTTTCGAAAAACGTCTCGTCGTTCGGTATCAAATTTCGATACCTAAGGGGTTAATCTCATCTGCATCAGTGAGCCAATAAGCCTGCAGCACTAGCCGGTGTGTTCGACTAGAAGAGGTGCGGCGCAGATCGATCAGTGTTTGACATCCGCGAGAGCGATTCGAAAGCGCACGGAGCAGTCTGCTCTCTTTAGCTCTCGTGGTACTGTGATACACCGATCGGTCTGCACAGTCAGTCCGCGTCAAGTCGAACACACCTACTAGTTTACACCGGTTACACTCAGAGATGATCATGCATGCAAACTGTAGCATCATACTACATAAGACAATAAATAAGATTTATGTTCCGCTTTTACTCAAAACTCACTTTAAACCACCATCGAGTGTTTGTAATAACTGCTGATTGCCGTCTAATGTGTGTTTTGGCCATGTAATGTTGCTGAAATTAAATATGTTATTACCTCTGACTCTGAGTCAGAGCAGCGATCATGGAAGAGAGAACACAAGCAGACAGCACTGGAAGCTGCTAATGCTTATCAGTAAATCAGTGGAAAATAAATAGAAATCATGATTCTGTCTGAGCTATGCGGTTTAAAACGGAACACGCACTAGTGTAAATGTAGCCTAACAGATGTGTAAACTGAAGACTAGTTGAGCTTTATTTGCACTGATTTATTGTGTTGGTTACATTTTGTTCCTTTGTGCAGTGGCTCAGGAGAGGAGTGTTTGAGTTTGTATAAACATCAACAAGCTGAAAAATAAAACCAAAGGTTTTTTTTTTTAGATAATATAGTCTTGTTAAAATTGATTTCATAAAATTGGTATCGAAAAAAGGATCGTTCAGGAACCAGTATCGAAGTCAAGGTATTGGTATCGATATCGAACATTTTTGAATGATACCCAGCACTAACCGCTAGCAAATGGCTAACCATGTCCCTTTAGTGACTCCATAGAATGCGTTATTTGTTTTCCATGCCTTTCTGCATACAGATTCACGCTTCGGGCACACCTCCTAACCACGCCCCCTGATGTCATCGTCCATCACGATGTTTCACTGTAGACATTGTCCGATGCCAATTTGGTAGACATCGCCCAACCCTAATGTCAAAGTCAGTGAAATTGCCACAAATAAGCTAACTGTTGCTGCCAAGATTCCCCAATTCCAAGATTGGGGAAGTCGTGGCCTAATGGTTAGAGAGTCGGACTCGTAACTCAAAGGTTGCGGGTTTGTAGGTGGGGGGAGTGAATGTACAGCGCTCTCTCCCACCTTCAATACCACGACTGAGGTGCCCTTGAGCAAGGCACCGAAACCCCAACTGCCCCCCGGGCACCGCAGCATAAATGGCTGCCCACTGCTCCGGGTGTGTGTTCATGGTGTGTGTGTGTTCACTGCTGTGTGTGTGCACTTTGGATGGGTTAAATGCAGAGCACTAATTCCAAGTATGGGTCACCATACTTGGCCACATGCCACGTCACTTTTAAAAAGATTAATTTAGCTCACAATTCATAGGGCTCGAACTTCCCTTTAGCCATCTTTATTTGAATCATTTACGCCATATCTAACCTGAGCCTGTGCACTCTGGCATTTGAGATTTGGCAGGTCTAACACAAGGAAGCAGTTCAGTGAAGTGGAGACCCCGCTGTAGGCCACGCACTGGAAGAACATGTGCTGGGTAAATAAGTGATGACTGAGAGCAGAGAGGTGCTAGAACCTTTGGGCCAAGACGGCCCATGGGGAGCTCCAACCGGTGCCAGGGGCACTTTCCTGATACTTCATGTCATCAATATTTATAAAAGACAGCTGTTGAGTGAGGTGCCATAAAGGAAATGTGTTTTGTGGCAGAGTTAGAAGAGCTGGCAAAATATGTTTTCCACTGTTCACAGAGATTATTTACTGAAAACACTTTCATTAAATATCGCATGCTGTTTTTTCCATTTATCCTTCTCTGTAGGTAATTGCACAACAACAGATTTAAATTGCACTGACCTGATCTAATACAGCAACGTGAAAGAGTTAATCAGCGGAATGGGAGAATGTTTAGATTTCATTTCGTCTGAAGTTTTTGCGTTCCACCTAAAGTGTACCGCTAATAAGCAGCACTGATCTGTGGGTACATGAGTCACTGGTGACCTAAATAAGCGTGTTGCTTTTCACATTTCTGCTATACTCTGGCCCTTGTCTTCATACCAGACAGAAAACATTTGCTTCTAATCATATATAAGCTCTTGGCTGTGAAAGCACTGGCCTGTTGAACTGGCCTAACACAAGGCAAAAATGGAAGCTAACTAAAAAATGACCAAAGAAATTAAGAGTGAGAAATGTGTCATTTAGATTTAGTTATATTTTATAAAATGCCAATTGAGACAATTGTAATTTAACACATCAATGGTAGTAATATGATTCATGATATGAGTTCAGACAGTGTACATAATTTATTAATTTTGTGGAATTTCTAATCATTCACTGAAAGCTAAAAGTCCTTTCAAGTACCAGAAATGCTCTCAGGTTTTAGGTGGACTAAA